GTGGGGGGAGGGGGAGTTGTGCCGCACGCGGGGGAGGGGCTGGCTCTACAGTGGGCAAAGCTCCCCTGGGGGGTTTCCCTGAGCCTCCTCCAGTGTTGCCAGGGGTACAGCGATTGTTGTCTTTTATACAGTGCTTTCAACCCTTGTATGAAATGCAAGAATCTAGAACTCTTGGTTCCAAAATGATACCTTTTATTAGACCAACTAAGAAATTGCAAAAAAATACGTCTTTTTCTGCAAGCTCTCAGGCTCATGCGCCGCTCCCCTGGGGGGTTTCCCTGAGCCTCCTCCAGTGTTGCCAGGGGTACAGCGATTGTTGTCTTTTATACAGTGCTTTCAACCCTTGTATGAAATGCAAGAATCTAGAACTCTTGGTTCCAAAATGATACCTTTTATTAGACCAACTAAGAAATTGCAAAAAAATACGTCTTTTTCTGCAAGCTCTCAGGCTCATGCGCCTTATTTTGATTTTTTTTCTCTCCCTCTCTTTTTTTTTTTTTTTTTTGCAATTTCTCCGTTGGTCTAATAAAAGCCATCGTTTTGGAACCAAGAGTTCTAGATTTTGTCTCGGACCGACACGGCAACACATACATCCCTGAACCCTTGTATGATGTATCCTCAATAATAATAAAAGTCTTCAAAATGTACAAGAATTTTTGAGGCAGTTAACCAGTGCAGCATTTTTTATTATTATTAATATATTTTGTGTCCCAGGTCAAATCAAATTCATATCAATTGAACCAGCAGAACTCAATCGTCCTGAACACCACGTACGGCACTACAACCTGCGAGCATCCTCTGTCCCAGGCTCTTGCCCTGGCTCTTCAGATGCTCCCAAATCTATTGGCAGGCATCCTAGGTGCAGACGCAAGCCCAGAGGTCTTGGGATTCGGATGCCCCCAGTTGATCTTAGCCCACAAGAGGCCGAGAAGGTGAAAGATTTATGCAATCTGAAGAGAAACCAGAGGAATTGATTAAGCATGTACAAAACCCAACTCACTGTCAGGGAGTCTACTGACTTTGGAAGGGTTTTTTAAGGACTTTTTTTGTGTTCCAGGCCACATCAGCCAAATCAATTCCAAATCTGTGAGTCATTCAAGAACCAAATTCAAGTACTACCAGCAAACATCCTCCACCCCTGCCTGGGGCTTCAGATGCTTCCGAATCCTTTGGCGGGCACCATATGTGCAGGCCCAACCCCAAAAGCTTGGGTTTTGGATGCCTCCAAGTTTGGCTTGCCTTTGGCTACAGGAGCAAGCTACGGAGGAGTCTCCCATTTCCATAAAGTCGGCATGTAGCCTAGATTCTCCCACTGGAAGCTGGCCAGTAGGATGCTAACTGTGGAGACTCTCATAGGGAGCTCTGTCTCCAAGCAGACAAGGGTGTAGTCCTCCACTACACAGTGCCATTTTAATTGCTTTACCTTAGTCATGGTATTTCCTTTACTGGCTTTTGGGATTGCTGTCAGCACTTTCTTATGGCTGCTTGTCTCAAAATAAAGACATGCTTAAACTTTGAGACCCACTAACTGAGGATTTACAGTGAGCAAGATTAAGTAAGAAGATGACTTATTTGCATATATTTTCAGTGTACGGTAATTTTTTCAGCAAATAGAATAATTATGAGCTTCCAATACAATAATTTCATATTTAAGACCTGGCAACGCTGGCCTCATCTTTGGGGTTGGGCATCTGTCTGCCTAGAGATGTCCAAGGAGAATTATCACTGGATTAACCCCATGGATGTGGACACACGTACCGAGGAATAAGAGTGCCACTAGCTTGGAAAGGCACTGAGCCCTGGTAGTCTGAAACGAAGCAGGAGGAAGGGCCCAGGGGCACCTGGGAGCAGTGATTCTCTACCCCCTGGATTGGGGCAATCTGGGGTGCCACAAGATCCTTTGAAGGGGGAAGCCAGAAGCACAGGAGAAAAATGAGGTGTGAGGAGATAAACAGGTTCAGGTTCCGGGTGTGAGGAGATAACTTCAGAGAGGCGTTAGCCTCAGAGACTAACCGGTTCATTGTATCGCCTAGGAAAGCTCATGCCTCTCCCAACCAGTTAGTCTCTTAAGGTGCCACTCTGCCCTGCCTGCTGCCTGAATTACCTTCATCCACCTTGGATTCTCTGTTGGAGAGGTCTCCACAAATTTGCTGTGTTATTTGGTAGGCATTGCCACTCTGCCCCTGGGGTTTTGAAGCAGCACAATGTGTTTGAGCCTGCTGCTAGCTGGCGAGATAAGCTTGCTCAAAGTGAAATGGCAAGTGAATTGAGCTGCAGTGCAACAACACTTCTCAATTTGAAAATAAGAGTGACCATGCATGGGTTTACCTAAGAAAAATGACTCAGGTGTACATAAACCGATGCAGATTAGCTTCTACCTAGAAGAAGCCTAGGACAGCCCAGAGGGAAATGGCACAATTATTGGCAGAGTTTCTTTAGGTTAGAACAGCAAGGCATATCTGAGCATGTCCTTATGTGGCAAGGTAAGTTTCCATTGTCAGCATGACCTTGCTTGGTTTTCAGCAGCCGCTCTAATGTTGGAAGCAGCTTTAGTGGTCGGCGTCTAACTGAAGCCATGCTGACTTACGTGATCAGGCCAGACACATTTGTGATGGTGGTGAAGGCCAAAGCTAATCTCAAGCCTGTCTCAAGTCTATTAATTTCAGATCGTGTTAGTGAGCTATTAAAAACATTTTGATGTTTCTTGTCTAGATTTAATGGCGCATTTCATTCTATAAGAGGAAAACGATCAATCCATTTGTTGCACAGCTTGAAAAGCAAAGGAGATGAAGGACACTGGAAAAAGAAATGGCCAATGATTATAACAATATCCATACGCTGTGATGCTGCTTCTGCTTATACATTTGAGTCAGGAGCTTTGTAAAAAGGGTGTGATCTGGCTGGAGGAAAAACACCTGCATGGACTAGTTCTCTAAAAGCATGTGCTTGACAAGTGCATAAAACATGTATGAAGTGACATAGCCTCTGGCTGTGTTACCCTATATAGGGAGCAGTATAAGCCAGAAATAGCGAAGACTAAATACAGCAGCATATAAGGTAAGATCCAAAATAATAATAATAATAATAACAGATGTAGAGCAAAATCTGAACAGTTTACAGTCTAAATAGACAAGGCTGCTCCTTGAGGGAAAGGGATACAAAATACATGCAGAGTGATCAGGGTTGCAAACTATATACTAATTTAATGATTTGATGAAGTGAAGAGGGGTTTTGTTGAGAGGAGGTTAATAAATCCTCACGCAATTACATAAGCTTGAAAGCATTCATAAAAGCAGAATTATTCATCCTGTCTAATAAGCTTCTTGGATGGGCATTTGACATTCTGGGGGATTTTTATATGTGTAGGGTTTAAATAGTTGATTTAAATAGTATATCCTGCCCTGTCCAAAAGGGTCAGAGCAGCTGTACCATTTCTGTTTATATACTAGGGATCTACCTAAGCTGTGGTGAGAGAAAAGGATTTTTGCATGCCACTTACAGTGCTCAGAGTCAATTTCGTGGTCTTTTCATGGTGAACCCCCCCTTGCCAAGAGTGCTGTCTGTCATGTGGCCCCACCCCTCATCACTGATTAAAAGAGAGAGGCAGGGCCACGTGACAGGCAGCCCTCTCAGGCCATCAGCAGCCAGGGGCAGAGGCCAGGCACATCTTGGCTATTCTACCTTATGTGCTGGCAGCTCCCACCCAAAAGGGCTGCAAGGTCGGGACTGAGATGCCAGGAGGACCTGGCTCTCCCGGGGGAGCCACCATTTTATTTTTAGTTAGTTGTTTTTTGGGTTTTTTTAATTTTGTGGATCTCGTGGACAATTCCTGATTTTGTGGTTTCCACGAAATACATGTGTCACAACCCAAAGTTGTGGGTTTTTTGTTTGAGTGTGCTTCGGCATCGCTAAATCATGTTCCCGCCAAAATTGCAACTCTTTTGCACGGTGGAGTGTTCTGCTGCAACAGAGAACCTGCGTGCAGGAGCTTTTCCCGCCAGTTCTGTAGCTTTCTTTGCATAGTGCATTTCTTTTGCATTATAGTGATGCACGATGCAAAGGAGTTCCTGCCATTTGTATTAAGATTCGAGCCA